GGACGCTTCTGACTATGGACGTAAAAGGGGCGTTCGACTCCGTCCTTCGGAACCGGCTCGTCATTAGACTGCGTCAGCAGGGATGGCCACACGGCTTGATTAGACTCATCTTCAGCTTCTGCTGCAACCGCATCGCCAGAGTCCGACTGGAAGAAAGCACGACGGAATACTTTCCTCTGTCATGCGGGCTGCCTCAGGGGTCGCCACTATCTCCCATCGTCTTTCTGCTCTACATCGCGGAGATCCTTGAAGACGACCCGGACGCGCGATTCGGGTACGCGGACGACATCGCCACTCTGGCCATCAGCCCCTCCCTGGAGAGCAACGTCGCAATACTCAACCGAAGCGCAGCCGGCATTCTCAGATGGGGCTCGGAGAACAAGGTCTCCTTCGACCCGAGCAAGTGCGAGGTCATCCACTTTACTAGGAAGCACAGCCAGCCAGCGGAGCTGCCAGAGGTCAGGGCGGGGGATTTGGTGGTCAAGGCCTCGACAAATCCTGTACGCTGGCTGGGTGTCTGGTTCGACAAGAGACTGTCCTTCCGGCACCACGTCGACACAAGAGTAGCTGCGGCAAAGAAGGCAGCTCAACACCTGAGGCAGCTTACAAACACAAAGAGAGGACTGCCAGCGGCCGCCGTGCGAAAAGCCGTCGTCTCCTACGTACTGCCGATCGCGCTCTTCGGCGCCGAAACATGGTACGCAGGTATCACGAAGCCGGCTTCGAGACGCCAAGCGGAGACAGACACGAGTCCGCCTTTCCAAGGAAGACCCGTCAACACAGGCCAGAAGGGGCTCGTGCAGAAGATCGACAGCGTCATTACAGCGGCAGCAAGGATCGTTCTACCTGTCTGGAGGACAACGCCAACCAGTAGCCTCCTCCGAGACGCCGGCTTACCGTCAGCCAAAGTCGCCTTAGAAGGCGTCCGTTTACGGGCCGCAGTCCGACTACAGAGGATTGATCGCCGACACCCGCTAGTCGCGCGGCTCTCCCAGCAGGGACAGCAACAGACGAGACTACAACGGACGGCTGAACTTCTGCCAAGATGCGGAAGACCAACGTTCCTCCAATCACAGTACCTGCCAAGCTCACAGGATCAGATAGTAGTTCAATGCAAAGAAGAGGCTGCGAAAGCTTTCGAGCGCTGGCTAAAGACAGTACCGGAAAGCCATATGATCGTCTTCTCGGACGGCTCCAGGGCGACGAACGGAGCCGTGGGGTACGGCTTCGTCATCTACCGAGACTCCAAACGCATAGCGCAAGGGTGCGGCCGACTCGGACTAGCAGAAGTGTTCGACGCCGAGGTCGAAGGGGCGCGAACCGGCCTCAGAAGGGCTCTGCTCACCAATCGCGGTCATCCAATCCACATATGTATCGACAACACCAGCGTTATACAAGGCATCCGCGGCAAGGCGCCGGACTCGTCACAAGACGCGTTCCTCGAAATCCAAGAAGCGGCCAGGATATTTGATATACGGACGCACTGGTCCCCGGGACACCAGGGCATCGAAGGAAACGAGGCCGCGGACCGGCTGGCCAAAGAAGGAACGACACTGCCGGCGCGGATGGGTCAAATGGCAACACTAGCGGGCATCAAGCGGCTTGCAAGGGAAAAATTACAAAGCCAGCACAGGAGATGGTGGTATAAAGAGCGAAGGCCGCGGTACGCGGACTTGGGGCTTGAGGCAGCTCTGTCCAGCCCTCCTGAACTGGCCTTGCCGCGGGCTACGTTACATCACCTGCTGGCGGCACGATCGGGTCACGGGGACTTCGAGCAATATCACCGACGTTTCAACCACGACGACGCTCTAATGATGTGCTCTTGTGGAGAGGCGAAAGACGTGGACCACCTGGTCTACTGTCGACTAACGCTGGCGAGGAGGCAACGGTGGCCGACCCTCCACTCTCGCAGTATGCCCGAGCCCATAGGTCCTATGGGATCTCTCGAGGCCTACTTCAAGAGATTAATCACCGACCCACGAGGCTTCGAGGCCTTTCTCCGCGTGACGGACTTCTTCCAGAAGATCTGTCTGCGGTAGCAGCATCCACACCTAGGTAGATGTGAGTGCGGACTACAAAGAACCTCCCGATTCCAAGGGACGATTTGGGAAAGAATGAAACTGGGGCACCAGCGGGAACCGGGGACAGACAGAACGCGTAGTGGCCACAAGGCATGATTTGGAGGACGATGTAAAGAGACGACGTACTGTAGAGTAGGTAGCCTTGGCTCACGGCCCTCCACGCCATATACCCTTCGGGAGGTCTGCGGTAAGGGCTCTAGCCCGGCCGCCACGGCGTTAAATACAACAACAACAACAACAACAACACCCTGTCTCTCAGAAACTAGGAAGGCAATCAAGCACAATGGTACGTTCCTACTCCTCCATCTTCTCGATTATCAATCTACAAATTATGATACTAACCCACTACCGACTTCCAGAGACTATCAACTATCATCGCAGCCGTCGTCGGCCTCGCTGCCACCAGCGTCAACGCTCAATGGTACCCAGCCCGCAACTGGACAAACTGCATCGCCGCTACCGGTGGAAACGGCACCAAAGGCATCAGAGAAGCCCACGCCTTCTTCAACGAGGCCTGGGGCCGTCCTCGCCTGCGTATCCAGCACCAGTCGTCATATGCCGTCATCTGCTACGGCCTCATTTTCGGCATCGTCAATGACGACAAGACGGGCTGGTTCGAGGCGGCCAACGATCGCGACATAGCAGCTCTCGAAGACCCTGGAACGGCGAGTGAGTGCAAGTGGTACCCCAGGGCGCACGAACTCACGCATTATTACTTCTTTGGGAGGGAGAGGGAGTGGATTATGGATAATCGAGCCTATATTCGTCGGTGCAACGAGGTTGAAAGGCCTATGGAGGGCACTCAAGTTAATCAACCTTGAGATTGCCGTGGAAGTTAGTAATCAGTCTGATTATCCGGGGGATGCAATGTCCCATAAGAAGTAAAGTCGACTGCCTACATTCTATGAGGTAGCCAACAATAATCAACCAGTCTTTATCGCACGCCTATTTTGAAGTTGAATTTGATTGTCCGAGGACGGGCTTGAACAGGACACAATCTAGGTATGATGACATCACGCTTACTTGTCTTTGCCTTCAAACATCTGTTTACCCTCATTTGTCAATCGACTAAGGTAGGTAGCCTTTTGATCTTCAATCTTACCGAGCGCAACCTTCAAAATTAGTGGCTTGTTATTTAGTCGTACGGATGATCGCCGGCCTAACCCAATCCGCATTATCGGGACTCAACGTTCAAGACACCTGCAAACGGTGTCGAGATCTAAGACTTTTGTTTCTCCGCACAAAGCGTTGGAAGACGCTTATTTCATATTTGATCTTTACATGCCCACTCCACACAAAACTCCAAGTGCGCAGTTTCTCTCATCCTAGAATCCGCTCTACCTTAAGCAATCGATGATAATATGTCTGCGTCTTGGAAACCTCAGTACCGCCATACCCCTCCTTGTCAACAGCAGCGTAAAGATGAGTATCTCGGCATGTCCCCCGACATCTTTGGCCTCGTGGCTGGGATATCTGTTGCGTTACTCCTAGCAGCCACGTTTCTTTTTCCGATGTATTACATGGAGAGGCATGAGCAGCGCGGCCGCGAGAAAACGAATCACAAAATACAGCCGCGTTCTAGCGGGAATGGCAGTCATGAAGGTATGTGCAAAAATTAAGGCACATCATACTTACTGACCTCGTAACTTCAAAGAGACATGCCGATGTTGCCCGGAACCCCATGGAGTGATCGGCCATGCCTGCTTAGCAGAATTACCTCGACCATGTCACACCCAGTCAACGAGTTTTTGTGGAAGTGAACGAGGACCACGGGGTGGATGCAACATAACGAGGAGAGATTATCCTAGACTACAAGGCACAGCATGCTCTTTTCATTTGGAAGAACCAAGCGGGAAAGGGGCCCGTTGCTCTTCGGATGCCATGTCCTTTGACATCACAATTGGTGCCACGAGAATCACCCACTCTCAAGGTTATCCAAGCACCAAAACAGAGTTGAAAGCAGCCGAAACCCTAATCAACGGGCTCGCCACCTTGCTGAACCAGAGTCTCAAATCTGGTACACCTGAGATGGACGAGCCGTCTGCACCTACGGCCTTGATTCCATCTCTGCCGCGGGAGCAGGGACGTGCGACCCCTCTTTCACCACCTTGTGTGTGCAGCTCTTCGAGATCCCCCAAGGGCGAGGAATCGACATCCAAACACTACAAGGTTGACCAAGACGTAGATGAGCCGTCTCGGAAGCCAGACTCTGATGATGGTCTCTCAAATGTGCCGGCTAGGAAGCTTGCTTGCCCGTTCTATCAACACGATCCCGACGGGCAATTCCGAAAGACCTACTGTACAGGACCTGGATTTTCCAATGTGGATGAAGTCAGGTCAGCATGGTCCGTTCCCAGGCGATACACAGGCTCACATCACAGGCAATAGACAGCATATTTACGACCACCACATAATACCCTTCTACTGCTCCCGATGCGCCGCAGTATTCTTTTCCGAGAATAGCCTTCATAATCACTTACTGGAACCGACAAGATGTGAGCTAGTCTCATCCGTGTTGCCTATGGGATGCACCAGGCAGCAGAGAAAGTTTCTGCGAAGACGAATCCATGGAACCGAAGAACAGCAGTGGCGTGCGATCTACGGTATCCTATTTCCCGATGAGCCGAGCGAAGATATGCCGTCTCCGTGTAAGTGCTTTTCCAGACTGAACACCCTACCTAACCACGTCAAAGACTTATCACTTTTTCAGACTTTGAGGCTGTTCTATCGAATACCGATATCAGTGACAAGAAAGAAGAGAGTGTCAACAATGCGCAGCAGCAGCACTTCCGCCTCCAGCTTCCGCACATCCTGGACCGACGCTTCGTGGAGAACCCCACCAGTTCGGAATCGGAAACTCCGATAGCGGATCCGACGACACGGAACCGACGCGGGGAGGCCGGGGACGGGACCACCATCGACGTCGTACGGGGCGCCCAAAAGGAGCTGTACCGGAACTTCCGTCCCATCCGACAACTAACCATTGAAGACTTTTACGACTCTACGCCGCTGTCACCTGGTGCCCCGGCCGACGAGACTGCAAGCCCGGCCCAGCCAGACGAGTCGAGAGCGCGGCATCATTCTCATGATAGTTCTGACTTTGGGGTGCTGACCGAGTCTTCCAGGTCTGGGTCTATTCAGTCAAGCGGGTTTGTGTATGCGTCTGATGAGTTTTCTGTCAGTGAGGCAGAGGATAGGGGGACATTTTTTCAAATATCTGGAGCGGATCGGTGTTGATTTGGATGAATTTTTTGATAAACGCGTACCGGGGCTATCAGGTTGTATTCAATTGACTAGAAATAATGTGACTCCTATGTACCATTTATCTAAAGTTCACTGGTTCGGAACTTCGTGTAAGTCGAAGGGGAGACCTGCGGCCGCCAGTCGCCGCCAGCTGTTCAACTACCCCGCCCAGCTGCCGACGCTAACCCCACCATCGGCAGAAGACGGCACCGACAGAAGCCGGCAACGGCAACAACGTCAACGAATCCGAACCGTGGCGATTAACCTTTGAGTCTTTGAGTCTTCCAGTTTTACAAATTCCCTCCTTTCTCTCAATCGCCGACACCCTCTTCCTCCCGACCCCCAAAACGACCCGGTCTCTTCGTCCTCTCGCCTATTACACGACATCACCGTCTAAACGAATCCGATCCGAAGCGAACCCCTCCACACCTCCACAATGGAAGACGTCCCCCTCGAGCACGGCTCCCCGGAGCACCTCCTCCCGCCCAGCTGGAAGACAATGGTTACAGCCTGGCTCGCCGAAGACACTCCTTCCTTCGACTACGGCGGCTTCGTCGTCGGCGCCGCCCCGCGCACTGCAACCCTCTGGGGTAAATCTGGCGGCATCGTCGCCGGCCGGCCCTTTGTCGACGAGGTCTTTGCGCAGTGCGGCTGCACCGTCGAGTGGCACGTCAAAGAGGGCTCCCACGTCGAGCTCCGCGGCCACGGAGACCATAACCCGAAAGGCAAGATGCGCGTCGCGACCGTCTCGGGACCCACGCGCGGGATCTTGTTGGGGGAGCGGGTGGCGCTGAATACGCTTGCGCGGTGCTCTGGCGTGGCGAGCATGACGAGGGGTATGTTGGTGAATTTGAGGGCGGCCGGGTATGCCGGTGTGCTGGCGGGTACGCGCAAGACGACGCCTGGGTTCCGGTTGGTGGAGAAGTACGGTATGCTTGTGGGCGGTGCGGACGCGCATAGGCATGATTTGAGTTCGATGATTATGTTGAAGGATAATCATGTCTGGAGCAAGGGGAGCATCACGAATGCGGTCAAGGCGGCCAAGAGCGTGGGCGGGTTCAGTTTGAAGGTCGAGGTGGAGGTGCAGAGCGAGGAGGAGGCGGACGAGGCGATTGCGGCCGGGGCGGATGTCGTCATGCTGGATAACTTTACGGGCGAGGGGGTCAAGATTGCGGCCAAGAGCTTGAAGGAGAAGTGGGCGGGGAAGAAGCACTTTTTGGTCGAGGTCTCTGGTGGTTTGACGTTGGAGAACGTCGAGAACTATGTGTGTAATGGTGAGTTGTGCCTGATGGGTTGGTCTCTATCATTTGACAACATACTGACTTACCTACAGATGTTGATATTGTTTCGACAAGTGCCATTCACCAAGGCGTACCGCACGTTGACTTCTCACTCAAGGTTGAGCACTAGCTTTGATCAGTTTAGCGGTAAATTAAATCAAAAACACCATGATACCTCAGCTCACACTCGCTGGTTCCGCACTATATGATGCCGTATCTACTGTAGATCCATACGTTGTGATCCATCCGGACCTCTTTACTTCTTCCCCTCGAGTTCCTTTGCCATATCCCGCAGCTTGAACTTTTGAATTTTCCCACTGGGCGTCTTGGGATAATCGTCCACCCAGAAAACGTGCTTGGGCACAAGATGACTCGACAGGTGCTCCCTAACCCAAGCCCTCGCCTCATCCCTCGTAATCACTTTGCCCCCCTCCGCAGCATCATCACCACTCTCCCCTTTCCACCCCTTCTTCAACACCACAAACGCAGCAACGCTCTCCCCCAACTTCTCATCCGGCACGCCCACCACAGAAACCTCCTTGACACCCTCCATCTGGAACAAACAATTCTCAACCTCGAGGGGGTGAATATTCTCCCCACCCCGTATAATCAAATCCTTGATCCGCCCCGTAATCTCAACATACCCGTCATCGTCCATCCGCGCCTCGTCCCCGCTGTACATCCACACCCGCCCATCCTCTTCCTCCCTCCTCACCTCCGCCGTCCGCTCCTCATCCCCCCAATACCCCTTCATAACAAGATACCCCGCCGCCGCGAGCTCCCCCCTCTCCCCGCGCTTCACAATCCGCCCCCGGTCCGCAGGATCAACAATCTTCACCGCCGTATGCGGCATCGCCCTGCCCACGCTCCCCGTCCTCTTGTCGAACCCGTCGTCGGGCGCCGTCATACAGCTCACTGGACTCGTCTCCGTCATCCCGTAGCAAATCACCAGGTCCCGCAGCCCGAGAACCTCGTACAACCGCCTCATTAAACTCTCCGGCACCGAACTTCCCGCCGCGATCCCCTTTCTAAGATCCGTTGGCATATCCTCCTTCTTCACCACCCCGCCGCCCGCCAACGCCTCCAGCACGGCGACAAACATGGTCGAGACACCGTATAACCCCGTCGCGTCAAAGTCGGCTACCATCTTCAACGTAGCAGACGGGTCGAAGGCCGGACTAGGGAACAGGATCCCCGCCCCCGTCGTCGCGGTCGCCATGTACCCCAACACGCACCCGAAACAGTGGAAAAGCGGCGGCGGCACCACGATCCTGTCACCCGGCACCAGGCCCATCCTCTGCGCGATGAGGTGTCCGTTGTTGAGGATCGAGGTATGCGTCAACATCGCCGCTTTCGGTTGGGACGTCGTCCCCGACGTGAACTGGATGTTGATCGTATCTTCCGGCCTCAGCGGCGCATCGGGCACAACCGCCCTCATCGCATCCCCAGACTCAAGCAGGGCCTCATACGGCGTCAACGCCTTGAAACCACCGGCGAATTTCACCTCGGGGTGAAACCCAGCATTATCCAACACCACAACCTTTCGCAAACTCGGAACAACCTCGCTCTCCACCACTCCTCCGCCCTTATCCAAATCCGGCACCAGCGTCCTCAGCAGCTCGAGATTGCTCCGTCCCCGACACGGCTTATACGGTAGATCCGTAACCTTGCCAATGACGAGCACCTCAACGCCCAGATGGCGCAGCGCGGCGCCGACCTGCTTCGCGTTGAAGCCCGGGTTCAAGGGCACCAGCACGGCGCCGAGCTTGAAGGCCGCGTAGGTAAGCGCGGCGAACTCGGCGCCGTTGCCAAGGGAGACGGCGAGGCGGTCGCCTTTGCGGACGCCGAGGGAGCGGAGGCCGTGTGCTAGGGTGTTTGAGAGGGCGTCGAGGGCGGCGTAGGTTAGGGTCGTTGTCGTGGCGGCCGGGAAGGCGGATGATGAGTTTGGGGTTGGGCTGCGGGCTGTGACGGCGGGGAGGTCGCCGTGTTGAGAGACGATTTGGGAGAAGTGTTGGGGAATTGTTTGGGTTAGGAGGAGGGGCTGTCGGATGTGTTAGATTTATACTCTCTTGGATGTCGTCTTGCAGGTGAGTGAGGTGATCGGGGTGTGAACTCCAGGAAGTCATGATGTCTCGTGAAGAGCTTTAGTGCTTCACATCAACCCTTTGACCTCCTTCAACACATTTCTCATTCATTTACTCGAGTTGAGATGAGAGGAGCTGAAGTGAGCAGAACTCCATCCTCACCAAAGGCCCAACATTAAAGATAAAAGCAACTCACATCCTCAGGACCAAGACTGAAACTCAACCCTTCATGCCCCGAAGACAGCCTCCTCCGCTGCCCAACTCCAGTAACGACGGCACCAGGCCTCAAGCCCGCATACCTGCCCCGGGCCGTAGTCCGCGCTACGGACCCCGTCGCTAGACGAATGTATCCAGCCGCCGAAAGCATCATGTTTCGTCGGTGTTGTCGTCGTTGAAGCTTACCCGCGCCCAACCTCGGCTCTATAACCTCTGGGTTAAAACCACAATGTGTATGAACAAAATAAATAGAAAAAAGCCAAAAAGGTATTTCTCAAAAGATGTCTCGCGGTGACGATATCATGGCTCTCGTCCTCTCCAACAATTCGTCGAGCTCTTTCAGAGTATTCGTGTGCGTCTATGTAAGGTGAGGTACAAGGTATCCTTCGAAGCAAGGCGGGGAGAAGAGGTTGGAACTCTCGGCCCTCCTCTTCGTCCGGTCCGTCCAGTCTCCCTTCCACTCCCTCCTCGCCCGCGTCTGGCCGCTTCCCCCCCCGTCACACCGAGCCGAAAGTTGGGGGTAAACGCCTTGGCAGAAGAAGCTCCCCCGCCCTTACCTCACAGCTAATGCGGAGAACCCGTGCGGGGCTGTACCCGCTGCGAACAGGGAACATCTCCCTACCTAAGAAGGAGCAAAAAAGGAGCTGCGGGTGCACGCGATGTGGGATTGGCCGGGTGTCAAGCGCAGGATGACGCGCCGTGACAGCCTCGACGGGTTTCGAGGCCACGCCTACGTATTTCTTTGGAACTCTAACTCAATAATCGGAACTGTCGGCAGGTTGACACCTAGATGGTTGTGAATCCATTACTTGGTCAACGATGAGTGGAGATAGAGGCATGCAAGACCCCGACACAATTGGTGTTGCACTTCCTTCTCATCGTGAGTCTTGACAATTTAAGTTTGTTCCATTTGCTCGCAGACTGCTTTGGGTATATGTACCACGATGCTAACAAAAATTGCAGCTGTTCCCAAACCTTTTGCGGCTTTTCGCCTCGCCGGACGCTCGCCTCAGTAGACCAATTTCTGCCCATCTCCCAGTCCATTCCGTGAGGTCCCTTCTCTGCTACTCCTCCGCTTGTATGTCAGGTCGACAGATGATGTAACTGGACTCTATGCCAAAAACAAAGCTCTACGCTTTTCCCGTTTCCTTGGGGTATGCAGTTGGTTTGTAATTCCTGCCGCCGATGCCATAAAAGAAGAAAGAAAGAAAAAAAAAAGTCAACAAAAAGACGAAACGCGACTTCTGAAACATGTCCAACCCGTGACCGTGGGTGAGGACGCCGCTGGAGATGCAAATATTAAAAGAGACATGTACCAGAAGAAAAGGTGTGTCGTCACTTTCGTATGGCTCGAGGGCCGTCTTATTTTGATTTCGCCGACCCATCCTCGTTTTGCTCGCCGATATGGCGGAGCTCTTCGGGTTTCCAGGTGCCTGCAGTCACATATTAGTTTTAGATCTGGAGAAACATCATGTGCCTTGACTCACCCTCAAAGTCGTGCTTCACAAAGGCCATAGGATCGTCGTAATCCTTGGCACCCATCTGTTGCACGCCAGGGCTGAAACTGGTGATGGGGAGCACCACAACATCACCAACCTTCTTGGACGTCTCCATACCCGTGAAGTTCTGCCAGTCAATAGCTCCCTTAGAGTTCTTCATGTTAAAGTATCGGGGGTCATTGAAGTAGTCGAAGATGGCGTCAGTCCAAATCGCAGGTCCAGTGAACTCGACAACGTTCTTATCGGCAATGTTGTCCAGCTCGCCTGCCTTCTTGCGCTTCAGAGCTTCCTCAGTAATGCGAACAACAATCTCGCGCAGGACAGGGTGGCCGGGCTTGGATTGAATTGTCCACTGGCAGAATTGGATACGACGGCTGTACCAGTCCTTCCAGTCAGGGCGGTCAGGATCAGCTTCAATACCAATAACGAGACCGACGCTCTCCCGAGGAATGCGCTCGGGAATCCACTCAAGGGCAGATTTGATAGCGTAGGTATCAATGTCGGAGTAGATGCCGCCGCGCGCAAGGAGAATCAGGTATCGGAAGAAGTCGGCCTTCAGGACGGGCAGAGGAAGAGCGTCGTAAGCCTTGAGGACCTCGGGGACGGACGCGTAAAGGAGGCGCAGCAGGTTGACTGCGACCTTGTCGGTGATGACCTCGTGCACGAAGCCAGGGTGCTGTTCTGACCAGCTAGCTTCCTGCTCGCGGAAGTTGAATTGTTGCTCAGCGGGTGTCCACTTCCAAGTCTGCCAAATGTAGGCTGGGAAGCGCGTTTCGGGGTCGTAGGGGTATTGGTATGCTAGCTTGTCGTACAGAGACATCTTGGACATGTCCATCATGGGCTTTTGCGTCGCAACCTTGGGAGCAGAGGGCTTGATCTCGCTGTCGGCGGAGGCAGGGGTGTATGAGGACTTTTTGGAGTCTGTCGTGTCATGGTTGGAGGCAGTGACTGGTGCCTTTGCGGCAGGTGTTGTGTCGTGGGAGGAGGAAATTAGGTAAAAGACGATTAAGAGGAACGCGGCGACCGCGACGGCTCTCCGAGGAGTGAGCATTGTGGATGTATGTATAAAAGAGTGGCGGCTTGAAACGGTTTCAATTGGTGACTATGAAGTCATCGGAGGGCAAAGTTTCGCTTTGCCAAAGACTCGTACAATCGGCTCGTAGGGTTGGAAGAGAGTGGCTGTCGTAGATAGAGTCGGATGCGACGTGGTTCCTGAAAAAAGTTGGAGGCGCTGGATTAGGGGTTTAAGGAGGAAAAGATTCGTAGGAAGTTTAAAGGTTCGGACTATGGCGGAGTGATTCCTGCGAAACCAAGAAAGATCATGTTAGTTTGGGACTGATTAGGAGAATGGAGTAAGAGGCAGCAGGTTGAGGCGCAATGCTGAGGATAAGTGACAGCAAGCGGGTAGGGCTGGCAGGTAAATGAAGCCTGGAAAGTCTGGGCTGGATAGAAAAGGGGAGGAAGCCTGTCAAGGTTTTGGTGGTGAAGGGATGAGCTGGGTAGCGAATAGAGAGGCGTGGGTCCTGGGGACGTAATGGCGGACGAGGAACATACCTCGAAGATGGGGCCGTCGATAGTCGGGGAGGAGCTGGATAGAGTTCCGGCGATCGATCTGAGGAGCGCCAAGGAATTGCAAGAACGAGCGTACGGATACGTCAACGTTGAAGCTCTACTATCTCAAGTGGATAGTAGATAGGCGTTGGTTGTTGTGGTTGACTTGTCTGTTCGAGACTTGAAAGAACAAGAACTGGGAATAATTGGGTGTGGAAGAGCAAGGGGACCTTTTCCCTTTTTTGTTCTGAATTTTCCCTCTCTCCTTTCCAGGGGTCTCGATTGGGCGACTGCACCTGATTCTGTCCCTGGCCCTGGCAAGATAGAGGTACCGTGGTCCCGTACTCCGTATCCAGAGTCTAGGGGGGCGATGGCGGCGAGGGCGAGGGTCAGAGGGCGGGTGAGATGGAGAAAAAGATGCGAATGCGGCTGTGGCTGCGGCGGTATCCGTAGGCCACGACTTGGATGACGCCGGGATGCTGACTTGCGTGTCCAGGTCCGATAAGATGGGACTCGGGAGGGCGGCAGGCTGTGCAGAACGGGTACGGTGCCGTGCTGAAAACGCCTCAATCAATCCAAGGCTCGTGTATCCTCAAAGTCAAATATGTAGTGGGTGAGAGGCCAAGGCATCCCAAAGATGCAATCAGTCTGAAAGAATGGACCGCCAGATCTCAAGCTTGTGATTGTGTTTGTATGCAGCAAGAGAAAGTGCAGCAAACCTCGAGAGAAGTTCTGCGACGGGGCGGAAGGAATGGAGACTTGGCATGAGCTGGTTGCCGTGGGGTTTAATACATGCCGCAAGGGAGAATGGCAAAGATAACCTAGCGAACCTTGGAAGCTAGGGAATTGCTGTAGGATACCTAGATGCGGGTAAGAAATCAGAGAAAGAAATAGAGAAAGAAAATTTACGAAGGCGTGGATAGGGAGCTTTTGGGACGATTCGCAATCCGAAGAAAAGTCGATGTGGCACTACCTATGGGCGTGGTTCCCTAAAGTCTCAATGAAAATCACCCCTACCCCTTCCCCCTGCCTTCCCTGTGTGGTTTAACAAGTTTTGCCCTGCGCGGCAAGTCCTCTCCCCCTTCACCACCACCTCTTCCTTCCTTTCAAGTTTGAAAAGTGAGGTGGTAATTCAAACGTGTACAAATACGTACTTCACCCTGTACGAATAAGCTGAGGTGTGTTGCGTGGATCATGCATACGATGCAGCGCTACTGCGCAATGTGCTTCCACCCGGCGACACCATCGCCTTGGTGCGGATGCTACCAAGTAGCGAGGCGACGGAACACCACCTCGCACATTCTGCCACTGGGGATGCGACTTGGCAGATAGGTGAGGTACGGATACTCAAATTTCCAAGTCGATGATTTGGTCGCGGCACTTGGCGCTGACTGGGACGCTTCTGTTGTTATCGGATTGAATGCACCTTGCAGGAGACATGACATGCCACTGGATCAGCCAAGAGGCTTGACAGTCAGACAGATCAGAACAAAACTGTTGACACAGACGAACATCACGCATTCAGGAAAACCCAGCAAGGGTCTTCTGTGCGCATGTGCACGTTTTCGAGACTCGACTGTATCAAGACAATGCGACAGAGGGACACGCATACCTCACACTATGAGAAGCAGAAATCCGAACAAAATGTTTGCGAGACGGCATCATGGGATGGCGAATGAGCAGAGTGGGATCTGTGCCCGGCAAGAGCTGCCGGGTGGAACAACGGAAGGACGGAAGAGTGAGACTCGACATTGAGTCGAGTCCAACTAGCCGCACGTACAGAGTACGAATCCTTCGCAGTGTGTGTCGTGATTGTCGTCTCGTTGGAGCCTCGTATCGTGTCAAACGCACGTCTAGACTCTGGTGTCGGTAGTCCGGGCTGGTGCTTGTCAGTCTGGGTCTTACTCAGACAAGCCACAGCGTCTCCAGAGAGGTCTCCCGTATTCAGCCTTGTTAAGCATGCCTTAACTCCATCGTCAACGATGTGAGGGCGACAGAGCATTGCGCGTCCTCACAAAAAAATCCGGAGTGGCTTCTGAGTTAAGTGCTCTGGAAACAGCGAAAGATCGGACAGTCTTTGGACCCCAAATGAGCCCCCAAAGTCTATCTCTCTGCCCGTCAAAGTCGACGCGCGGAATCCGTTGGCCTCTGCGGTGTTCATCTTCTCTCCTCCGCTTGCCCATGCAGTGCAGATGCCAGCTTGCCAAGTCTGAAAAAAGGGAGAGAGTCTGCATGACTAGGTACATAGGTAGAAAGGTGCGCCTGAGGAATGCATCCCAAGTACGGAGCACCACTGGCATCTTCCACGTGTTGTCATCGTCAGTCAAGCAGTACGTACCCTACCCTGCCGGGACATGCATGTATCTCGATTTCGCTTCGAGATAAAGACCAGGGACGCAGCAAGCTTTTGATAATTGACTTGGTGGGTTTCTGTCCATCTTCATCGGCGCATCCATATTAGCAGCACCCACTTACATGGAGAAGAAGCGGGCACAGATCATAGAGGGAAATTTTAAGAATGTCCATCAATGGTCTAGAAGAAGGAAATCAGGAAAGTTGGTACGGAAGAGTGGGAAGAGCGAGCATCATGGAGATCCCCGGCCCATCACGACATCAGATAAATTGGCGCGTTTCAGAAGGGAGCACCCTGGATGGGTCCTCTCCCAAAATAGGAATACTTCTGCAGGTCAGTCGCAGTCTCTGATAGGACGACGGGAAGACAGGAACGCCAGGGAGCGTCTCCTTCCCAACCCAACACTCGGAACCTCAGGAACCTCGACTTCGTACATTCTGTCTGGCCATGAGGTAAGTACGCACAACAATTTTAGGAAGGCGTGTGATCCGATTATCACCATCAATGGAAGTCTCGCTATTGTCGGTCACCGCATCGTACCTTCTCTAACCAAAGTTCGCTCCATTGGAGAAAGTACGGAGTACCTGGGAAAATCCTCCGAAAGCAGGGACCAATAACCAGTAACATGGGATTTTGGTTCTTCCTCGCCCAGGGTCCTTCGCTCGCTGCCATTGCTCTCAACTGCCGCCCACGCCCATCTCACAGAGCCGCATAAATGATATCCGTACACTTTGTTGGTCACATATGAACCGATCTGAGCTATCATCGGCCTGCGTTGACGAACATTGACTAGACTTTGGCTTCTATCCTATCAAGATGCAGCCACATCACATCAGACTCTAATATACTGCGTTGACGTTACAACCAACGTCTCCCACTACAAACTTACCAGGAAACAAGCATAAGCGTCCTCGTCAACCTCTGTCCGAACCTCCGTCTCCGTTTCGCCAAGTCTGCAGACATGAGACGCTCCCTTACAGAACGCCGCACAAGGACAGCAATGCTCCCACAGCAAAAAGAAGAAGTAGAGCGGCAAGGTAAGCAGTCCGGTAAAAGCCAACTGCTGGTCTCTATGGCAGCATCAGCCCTGCTCGCCCACGTTTGGGGCTGAGCTTCCCTCCACCTCGTCTGATGTCCCAAAGTCGAGAGTTCTAGACTACCCTCAGGGCCCCCTCGAAAAATCCCATGGCGTCCAAGAGTCTCGACAGCTTGGTGTCATGCTGGACACGCAAGACTCCTCATGGCGCGTCTCCAAAATTCCAACGGACGGTCCATCATTCGGCCTCGGCTTCCTGCGGATAGCCATGACCCGATTTCCATGGCTTCTCCAGAACACGCACGGCTTGGTCTCGGCCGCATCTCCGTCGTTGCCTTCAACTTCCGAAGCTCTCCACCACGACAGACAAATCACCAATCCGAGTCTTTCCAAGCGAGCAAGACCTGCTGTACCGTCACATCCCGCTCAGCCATCAAACTGTTTGGTTCCTTATTCTTTGACCAGGAGTCCAACCCCCCCACTACCTTACTCCTCATAGCCTCAGCATTTGCAACAGCCCCCGGTGTTCCCGGCCGTGCGGTTACCTTTGTGGATCGAGTCATACCGAGGCGAACGACGGTTGATCAGAATCAGAGCTTATCCAAGGGGGGCTGGTCAGTGCTTATGATGACCTGCCGCGATCCCAAGTTTGTTTGCCGCACTCCAGACGATGATGCACGGTTCCGTTGTCGATTGTCATTTCGTCACTGGTCAGCAGCCCGCCAATACGACGGTCAATGCCTCGGCCGCTTCTATTCAGGTGGTATAGCCATTCACAGAGCTACACCGGATTACATGGCATTTCCCCTCAAACAAACATACTGAAGGCGAAACTCGTGAGAGGGCAACCTGTTGTCATCCATATTGTCTTTGCTCACCCAGCCGGCCTTGTCTCTCCAGAGATCCCAGCCGACCCAGCTTCTTGTCTTGAGTATGCGGGTCTCCATCCTTGCTCGGCTAATGGCTTCCGTTTGTCTACTCATACTCTATAGGGTAATGAATCTGTCTCTGGTCGTCCTATCGCCCATGGGCCGTTGTGCGATTTTCGTGGGTCTCGAGTACCGTGGCACTAACACGAGCCTGTTCGAGGTGTGACAAAGTGGCTAATGCCCGTATTTCGTCGTGCTAACCTCCACAGAGAGACAGCAGCCTGTGCTTGTAGACCAACACCTACTACCTTCTGTAAACCCGACTGCATTGTGCCTGCTTTTTGTAGCTTATTGGCAGTCAGTGGGTAATATCATAGTGCTTGTTGAGCGTCCGAGGTTAGATGTATCGGACGCTGCAGAAAGTAGTTTAATCTTAAGCTCGCGCGGCACAAACCTGCGGAATACCCTATGGCTTTATACACGGCTTAGTTTACCACGGAGTTCTCAGCCTAGCACAGTAAGCTTAGCGCAGTAATCATCACCTCCGGTCCCAAGTTCCATGGTCCAGGACAACATATCCGTACGCGTCATTTAGCAAACGAACATGTTGCACGGCAACAACGGGGTCGATTCAAACTTCCCGCAGTAAGCACCTGGTGGCTGTCAAGCCAGGCAGCTCAGCTTCCTGCTTTGGAGGTAAAGATCAGGACTTTGAGAATAGTCGCGACCAATGGGGAGTCTGCACCGCATGGACTTGCCACATGTGGCATTGGGCCACCCGAAGAGAAGACGATATCTCCAAATTGTTGGAGAAAACGACGGGTGATGAGCCGTCCATTGGATAGTCGGATGCTTCGTACCCCGCCATCCCACCACCCAGCTAGGCCAACAAGACGGCCTTTACCCCGCCATCGGAACGTTGAGTATGTCACTGGATGAATGGGTGACCACGTCAAGTAGACGGTCATCGGGATACATGCACTCGTCTCCGAGTTTGTGACCAAGCGACCGAGCTGCGCTCCCATGGTCATCTGTCGAGCTATTAGTCAATCGGCTGTCTGCACTGTTGGATGAATGGTTCCTATCATCAGACTACTGCAAGATCCCCGCACTGCGTCTTAGCCGCCCGTTGAAAGTCTAGATAAGCCCGACCTCAGCCACTGATATCAAGAAAGTGCAGTCTTCCAAAGGCTTCTCATCTCACTATAGCTTCCATTCTCGATACCGAAAGTGGACAGGTTGGACTTCACGCACTATGGCTCCTCATCCTTTGACTGCGTTGTCTGGAGACGAGTTTACAGCGGCAAGAGACATTGTTGTCAAGCTCTTTGACCAAAAGGTTTCGCTCTTCTTCAGATGTATCTTCCTGCAAGAGCCTAAGAAGGAGGAGCTCGTGCCGTATCTTCAGGCAGAGCATGCGGGAAAACTCACAGACGAGACACCTCGGCCACCGCGCCGAGCAAGGGTTCAATACGATGTTATCAGAAGCGGCAAGAGGCCCGAGTATACCCAATCTGTGGTAGATCTCAAGACCGGCCGCGAGCTTGAAAGAACCGTGGCCGCGCCGCAGTATCAAACGAGCTATACCCCGTTAGTCACGTGTAACATCATACCTGTTTGTGTGAGAATGACACGGCTAACATATCTCACAGCGATGAGTTTGGAATCTTCCAAGACGCCTGTGTGGCATCTCAATTGTTCAAAGACGCCATGGCCGAGTTCTCTCTTCCGAAAAACTTCACCGTCACAATCGATCCCTGGCCTTACGGCGGTCCGGACGAGGACGAAGGGGACATTGCCCGCCTGATGCAGGGCCTCGTCTTCGCACGCGACGCCTCCAAGAACAACGTCGACTCGAACCATTACGCCTACCCGATCCCGATCATCCCCGTCATGGATATAGCCACCCGCAAGATCCTCCGCGTCGACCGCCTCGCCACCGGCGCCGCGGGTGACGGCCTCGCTCCCCAACCGCGCGCCGCGGAACCAAAGTCCCTCTTCTCCAACAACATTTCCTCCGAGTATGTCCCAGAGCTCCTCGAGATCCCGCAGCGCGAGGACCTGAAGCCCATCAACATCACCCAGCCCGAGGGCGCCTCCTTTGCCATCCAGCCGGACAACCTCGTCGAGTGGCAAAAGTGGCGGTTCCGCCTCGGCTTCACACCCCGCGAGGGCGCTGTACTACACGATCTCTGCTACGATAACCGCCCCGTGCTGTATCGTCTAAGCTACAGCGAGCTGACAGTGCCCTACGGTGACCCTCGTCCGCCCTATCAGCGCAAGCAGGCCTTTGACCTCGGCGACGGAGGCTTCGGCCGCGTGGCAAACAACCTCGAGCTCGGATGCGACTGCCTCGGCGCGATCCACTACTTTGACGCCCTGATGGCCGACACAGAGGGGAACCCGACGGTGGCGAAGGCCGTGGTCTGTCTCCACGAGCAGGACAATGGGATCGGGTGGAAGCACACCAACTTCCGCACGAACCGGGCTGTGGTCACGAGGCTGCGGGAGCTCGTTGTGCAGTGCGTCGTCACGCTGGCCAACTACGAGTACGTGTTTGCGTACAAGCTCGACACCGCGGGCGGGATCACGCTCGAGACGCGGGCGACGGGGATCATGTCTGTTGTGGCGGTCGACGAGGGCAAAAAGGAGTCTGCGTACGGCGCCGTCGTCGCGCCGGGCGTGCTGGCGCAGAATCATCAGCATATTTTTGCCGTTAGGATCGATCCCGCGGTGGACTCATATGCCGATGGGGATACGCGTGTCCTTGTGGAGGAGAGCGTGCCTGTGCCGTTGAACAAGGAGACGAACCCGTACGGAAACTATTACGAGATTCGGAAGCAGGTTGTCGAGAGGGCGTGCTGGATCGATGCGGAACCGAAACTGAACAGGGTGATCAAGTTTGAGAACCGAACGAAGAAGAATGCCATGTCTGGGAGGAACGTCGGGTTCAAACTTACGCCGTCTGCGTCACAGCTGTTGCTGGCGGACGAGACGAGCCAGGTGTCGAAGCGGGCCAAGTATGCGAGGCATCATGTCTGGGTTACGGGACACCGCGATGACGAGCTGTGGGCGGCTGGGGAGTATACGAACCAGAGTCGGGAGGAGGTTGGTGGGGTGTGGGATATGGTTCAGCGGGGGGACTGGTTTGAGGACGAGCGTGGGGCGAATGGGGATGGCGGTGGTTGTGATGAGGGCAGGAAGAGTAGTCCTGTCGTCTGGAGTGTGTTTGGGTTGACGCATAACCCTCGGGTGGAGGATTGGCCTGTGATGTAAGTTGTTTTCTGTTTTGGTCCCGTCCTTTTCCCCTTTGTTTGACTTTCATCACTCTCTTTACCCAGGATCATATATGAGACCATCAACTGGCTTACACGTTCACCAACAGGCCCGTCGAGATCCACCATCTCACCATCCGGCCAGCAGACTTCTTCACCTCGAACCCAGCGCTCGATATGCCCACCAACAAGAACGAGACAAGTGTTATTGTTCCATGTTGCGGAGGACAGGAGACGAACGGTGATAGCAAGGAAGGAGGGCAGGCGGTGCAGGAGGCTGCTTTGACGCATCTTCAGGGGCCTGGGCCGGATGTTTCTGCTGCGGAGGCTGGGGCGCATACTGAGAGGTGAGACTAGATGATAGCCTAGAGAAGCGGCAGTTAATGACTGGCTCTGAGGTGAGAATTATCTCCTATTATTTGGTACCTTTCAGAAAACATGGGTCACTTTTACCACGGTGCAAGATGTAAAAGAATTGCAGAAAATATGTTTCACTACTTATGTGATCTATCCCTCTGTGAATGATTCTCCGACTGGGAACTACAGCTACAGTGGAATTAAGTTCGGTGATTATATAATGGACGTAAAGATGTAGTACACGATGGGCAAGGCCGGTGGGATATCTTAACGACACTTGCTTAGGTGACTTGACAATAGTACAGGATAAATGATTAGCTTCGCAATAACACTAAAATGGTTTCCGGAAGTAGAAAGCTTCCATCAATAAGATCATTATTGTGCATCAGGAACTTTATTACTTGATGAGGAAAATCATGTCTTAATGAATGGCTCGATAGGTGATCAACCCAGGATGTAGGTAGTCTAGCCACAACTACTAACTCCAAATCATGTCATCATGTATAAAAAGTGACTTGGAAGTCATTTTGATTGTTTCCATTCTTGCAGCTTTCTGTTCCCAGATTTTCGGGCTAGGCTAGGCTTTCACGTGGTGGTTGTCAGAATTGTTCATCTCGAGCTGAGCTATAATTCCTCGGCATAGAAAATGAATAGAAGTTCAGTAAGGAGGAAATCTCGTTGTTTTCAAACGATGCTGTCTGGTGCTTCTTCCACCAACCGTAATCAGTGAAGCCATGTGCATGAGTCAACGTCGAAATGTGACCTTGGTAACAGCCTCGAGGATACCATTATAGTTCGCTTCCCTAGTCAGAGAAGCGTCTCACTGTTGCATCTCGCTGATTTCAAAACCTTGCCGTTTGATTGTTCGGCTTTCCTAGAGCTCGCATCGTATCCCTTTCACCGCTCAAACATGGTTCGTTGTTTTGTTCGTTGAAGAAGCAGAGCTGTCAGATGTTAGCCGAAGTCGAATTGAAGTACTCCGTGTACATGCTGTATTGTTTAAACTCAAACCGACGCTCGGTCCTGCCAGTAAACAAACAGAAGGTATACTGCAAACGCGAAATTGATAGCTTGACGAACAATATGCGAGCTATTAGCTTGGGTGTGTTCAAATTTTCAACTAGCTCTTCACAAGCAAATAACGACGTAGAGCTTCAAATCTGTCTTAACATCCCATCGAGGCTACTATGGTGTTACACCTGCGAGCAACAAGGTACCTGATCGGATCGAGCCGACTTGGCTTGGCTGACATGACTCTTCCCGCTCCCCGACTTTGTGGATCATCCTTGTGACATGTCAAAAAGCGAGCCGTAGGATGATGGGATCGACACTTTTTCATTTGGTCAAAGTTCAGGAGATTCGATGGAAGCGGAGCCGGGATATAGTGTTGCGGGAACTCCCTTGGTTGGAATTTTCGTGATCGTGACTCGCGACTGTTGGGGATGTACCGCAATATGGCGGTGGCATGTACTCTCAACCGAGCTACATCTCTTACCCACGTATCGGGCAAGCCGATGATGGACGTCATGAACGCCCGCTCGGATTGGAAGCAATATGGCTATGAGAAATGGGAACAAGGGCATCGCTATGGGGTTTGATATCGGTTATTGAATAAGATGTTCTGAAGGAATTCAACAGATGGGGAAGATCACGTCCTGATCTTCAATCCAGCAGTATAAAGACATCATGTAGTCCCTATGAAACTTTGAGAGTTGTTCCATCAATCACGACAAACCTCAAATATCACCTCACGCTCCTTTACGCAGACCATTCTACTCAAAATGTTCTCCTTCAACGCCATCATCGCCCTCATGTTCGTCCTCCCACCACCAACCTTTCCTCGTGATGATAGAGAAGTCACTAACAGCAACTAATCTAGGGGCATCGCCGCAATCGTCAACGGCGCACCTACCGACAACACCGTCACCAAGCGCCTCGACGACATCAAGAACTGCTACTGCGGTAGAGACACCGGCTCCGCCCTCGTCAGCGACCCGACCTCCACCAAGAACGCCTGCCCCGATTACGGCACCGTTGGTACGTACAGACAAGATACCATCCCTCAGTCTTTCCTCAGTTTGCTCAGGAATTACACATCAATCAAACTTGAGGATACTAATCGTGGCCTCTTTGCGTACAGGTGGACCGTACCCTACCAAGTGCCAGATCATGATTGACATCAATGAGCCTTTGTTCGTTGCCAAGTGCAAGGCTCTTGGCCAGCCTACTGGATGGTGCGAGAAATAAGTGTGATAAAATTAGAGATAGGGAGACAGTGGTGGTTGGAATATGTGGATGTTGCTGGCTCATGGGAAAATCAACATTTTACCGTTCTGCACCTAGATGGTGTGCGTATATCATCATCAATCAATTCGCGATAGGTTCATTTCAAGCTCCCCAAGGGACCGACCATCATCATCAAGCTTGTGTGAACTAAGAACTCTGTGTTTGATATGACAGAGCATCTAGGGGGCGGTTCAAGTTGACTAGAGTACCCTCTCTTGACAAGCCAGATTGTAGTGCCCCTATTCTTAACTTTCCCGAGGAACTCACGTAACCGAGTGTTTCTTGTATGCTTAGGGGGTCTCGCCTCTCTGTATCCATCTTTGGAGACACTCGACTCTACTATCACGATGGTCATCGATCTACAATCCTTCAAACCAACACCAAACGCAGAGCATTGTCATAATCGGGGTATCTATTCTACAGCGACTGACTGACTGATTGCTGACCTGACTGAATCTCGCCCAACCGCCGCCACTGTCTCGCCTTGTCTGCACAACCTCGCCCCTCCCCACCATATACACCTACTGAGGCAAGATGCACACTCTCTTTCGTCGCTTTCTTTCGTGACCAATGTCCATGAGATATGATCAACTCCCTCTTTCAAATTCAACATTTGTCCCCGAAAACGAAGACCGATTGGGTATAAGTCAACCGCTTGGCCAGGTTTATAATCGACTTCGGCCCCGTGACGAAAATAGGGACCCAAATGTGGGCATGTCCATCGTCCCACTATCGCTCGACATCAACAAACTCACGAGCCGCCACGGGGGCTGCCATTGGCAGGTTGTTTACGGTTCATCAAACCGCTGAAGAAAGCCTGGAGCTTGTCGTTGTCCATCTCATCAGGATTCTCCTCGGCGGTGTCAGCCGGTGGCGTGGTGGGATCCTGTGTAGCACTGTATGCCTGACGGTCCTACGATCCGTGTTAGTCAAAGCCGCTCCGATATTGAGATCGACTTGGCGACTTGGCGACTTACCTTAAGCCGCTGCACCATGTCGTCAGCATCCACCTGGATGCCTCCCATGTTAAACTGCACAGGCCCAATGTGCTGGCTGACCTTGCCGTCGTCGGCTCCCTGCCGCAACGCACTGGAATCCGAGTCGTCCGTCCGCTGTCCTGTTCTCGACTTGGAGGCGTCTGCCTTCTTATCGTCGTTGCTTCGGCTGCGGTGCGTGTCCAGCGTCTGTAGACTGGCACCGAGGAACTCTTGCGTATCGGTAGATGACATCTCCAGCTGCGACGGATCACCATCCCGACCTGCAAAGGAGATTGCGCTGCCGGCTTGGCTGAGGTCACGGATCCAGTCTTCGAACGGCGCCACTGCTGAGGACGAAACCTCGCCATTGTAGTCCCCGTCTGCCTTCGCCTTGGCTAAAATGCTCAGCCCGTCCGTAGTCATCGCAGGCGAGGGGAAAGTGGACTGCAAGTCGTGCGACCAGCCCTGGCTGGTGGCCTCAACATCGAACCCATCCCTCAGTACGCGAATCTTGCCCCAAGAATCCCAGTTTGGCGGGACCAGGATCTTATCTCTGTCGATTGTGTTGTGCTTCAATGGTTGCCGTTTGAGTAAGGAGGTGATGCCCAGACTCGAGTGCACCAGACTTGGTAATGATGAAGGCACATTTGGTGTGGTGTAAATGAGCGAGGCGCCGTCTGGGACAACACTGTTAACATGGCCTTCTGCCTCGGAGAGAGCGCGAACTTACGCCTCAGCAGCACTGTCCTGAGATACTGCAGAACCTGGTCAAAATCACCCTCCTTCCACCCTTGCGTCTTCTCCAGACCCTCCATCTTCTCTGCCTGCGAATTCGTTAGCAGGCGCAAAGTCAATCTTTCGGCATAGCACTTGATCTCACGTTCTGGCAGACTACGCAGAGTGGTAAACCGATGCCCTCTTCCCATTCACCAGGTCCAAGAGGCAACGCAACATCACCTTCGCTAGTGGTCGCTCCCGTGCCGTCGAGGTTCGTCGAGCCGCCTCCCCTGCCCCTATCCCGCCATGAGACCATCACTTCCTCCATCGTCGCCTGACACTCGTGGCTCGAGCTCTCGAGGATGCTGCGCATGAACAAGATCCATTCTCTCAGTTGGCGCATCCACAGGTGTGGTGTAGACCAGTCGAGGAGCACGACCATTAGGGTATTCGGTATCGTCTCGGGCGTGATTAGGGGTTGAATAAGTTTCGGGAATGATTCTGAGGGGTTCGAAAGCATATAGAGGGAGATCCGCGCAAGTATGTCTAGAAAACGAGTTAGCATCAGCAGCAGAAGCTGAGTCGAGCTGACAACAAACCTTCTTGGTCGGCATCCAGCACGTCGTAGTAGGTATACCCAAGAGCGAAGCTGTTCGCAATAGGAGGCGTCTTTGAGCTGTTGCGATCCAGGCTTCGCTTCTCGCTGCTGTGTGACAGGGACTCGACAAACTCCTTTTGCGACTCTGGCGAACCTCCCAGGACGATCATGTTCTTCTCCGGTAGCCGTTTGCTGCTGGCTACGTTGTCGAGCATGGAGCTCCAGAGGTCTTTCTTCTCTCCATTGCGGCCGTCTGACCCCGCGGAAGCCGAGGTATACGTCGACACTCGATTTGCGCTTGCCGTCATGATTGTGTTTGTCACTGAGGAGGACGCATGAGAGGGGTTTGGGTGGAAATCGTGGGTCTGTGGACGTGGTGTCTCGGTCCAGGAACTTGAGTCGGTGGGTTGACAGTTGACAGCTTTATGCGAATGCAAATAGACGCGTTCGAGTCGCGGTGTAGGTAGGCCGACAAGTATACCGGATTATGGAGTTTAGGACTGACGGTCAGTCTAGAAAATACATGAAATTAGACTCCTCCGACCGAAGCAATGATGGCGTTCCCAGAAGCTGGGGTTCTCAACTTGAACGGACGGCCGTATCTTCCACAATTCTATTGGCACCTCGCCAGCGCTCTCTCATGCCCCTTCCTCAAAGTGTGTCGGGGGATTTGAGCTCCGGACCGGCTGTTTTCCCGACGGAGCTAGAGTGCAGGCAGTGACATTGCAGCACGCGGGTAGCTAGCGAAGTGTCATTTTAGGGGTTGTCTCGGGGGAGATGACGCACCGACAGTGCTACGCGACTACCTAAGGGAAGTCCAGGTATCGGCGTTTTTTTCTTCTGGAGCCGACAAGCTCCAAGAACCTAAGCTTGGGACGACGCCTCTTTCGGCCTTGAAGAATTGAAGCTCTAGTACAATCCCAGACGTCTACCACAAAATTGACGATTTTCAAAAGCTTCAGAGGACCTTGGGTTCCCCGTCGCAACCATGAACAAAATTCGCGCCATCCAAGAGCTCAATAAGAAAGAGATTGAACATGGCATGTAAGTTGTACCATGGTCATTCATCTTCCATACAAATTGAGAACCATGCGCTGACACCCTGACAGCTCCCCCGAAGGCTCCTGGCACGTCGACTACCGCGACACGGCGTACATCTACTTTGGCGGGCTCCCCTACGAAATGTCCGAAGGCGATGTGATCACAATTTTCTCCCAGTTCGGCGAGCCCGTCTGGCTCAAGCTCGCCCGCGACAAGGAGACGGGCAAATCGAAAGGCTTCGGCTGGCTCAAGTACGAGGACCAGCGCAGTACCGATCTGGCGGTTGACAACCTCGGCGGTGCGACGATCGGCGGCAGCCGCATGATCAGCGTAGACCATGCGCGCTACAAGTTCCGCGACGACGAGGACCCGGACGAGGGCAAGGTGGACTGGGCGACGGTCGTGAAGCAAGAAGGGGGCGACAAGACGGACGGGGGGTCAGACGAAGACGAAGAGGAGGAGCAGCGGCCGATGTTGCCTGAGGAGAGGGAACTTGCGCTACTGATTCGGGACCATGACGAGGACGACCCCATGAAGGCTTTCCTAATTGAGGAGAAGAAGGAGGAGATCAAGGAGGCGCTGCGGCGGCGGGATGATACGTCAGAGAGGAGGAAAAAGCACAAGCATCGTCATCGGTCACACAGGTCGCGCAGGCACGATAGTGATGAGGAAATGAGGGATGCGGATCGCGACGAGGATAGGCACCGCAGCCGGAGGTCTCGTCGTGATGATACGCCCGATGACAGAGATCGCAGAGACGACGAGAGGAGTTCGCGCCGCCATGGACATCGAGGCGAGGATCGGGACAGGGAGTCGAAAAGGGATGATGGGGGTCGGAGAGAGAGAGATCGATCAAGAGATAGACGTGAACGAGACCGGGACCGTGATAGAGGCGAAGACGGCGAGAGGAGGAGAGAGCGCCGGCATCGCGACCGCGATGGCTCGGAAGAACGTCAGCATAAGAGGCATAGAGACCGTGCTGATGAGCGGCGGCAAACAAGGCGAAGTAGGACTAGGAGCAAGTCGTCGTAGTCTTGAAGATGCCACAACTACTTACTTAATCACAAACTAAGCGATGCTATCGCTGATACCCCTGGATGCCTTGCTTGTCCGATGCCAACGCCGTATGTAATATACACTGTACCGTAAACCAAATAGCAGCATGACTCCTACGAGCCAGCCTGAGAAACATCTCGTCATGAAGCGCTACCCAAGTATCGCTTCCAGCCTTCTCGCACGACATACCGACGTCCGTCCTCTCCCTTGGATATCACGAACTTCTCCCATCTGGCATCGTGACCAGCACCAATCACGACCAGACTGTCCTCCGTAATCCATCCAATCACGCCCTTCTGCGGTCTCGTCGTTCCTAGTGTCGTCTGTTCTGACATGGGGAGGCCACCGATGAGGGGATCGTCGCCTGCTTCGAATGGCGCAGATGCGAAAGAGTATACGTCTGAGAACATCCGCGGCATCAAGGGAATCTTGCCTAGGAAGCCCCAACGGCCCTTGCCATCGTCAGCCGGTCTGCCCGCAAGAATTCCGGATCCCGCCATCTGCGATGCCGAAGGGCTGGTCGGTGCAGTCATGGGCTTTTTAGGGTGCGGGACGTCGAACACGTGCAGTGT